CTCTGGGAGTACGGGTGAAGGAGTTTGGAGCGCAGGTGGTATTCTCTTCGATTCTTCCTGTCAAAGGTAGGGGCCCGGGCAGAGACAGATGCATCATGGAGGTGAATGCCTGGCTGCGAAGATGGTGTCGCCAGGAGGGCTTTGGCTTCCTAGACCACGGGATGCTATTTGAGGAAGGACTGCTAGGCAGAGATGGTGTTCACCTTTCGAGGAGGGGAAAGACCCTATTTGGACACAGACTGGCTAACCTAGTGAGGAGGGCTTTAAACTAGGTTCGACGGGGACAGGTGAGCAAAGCCCGCAGGTAAGTGGGGAACATGGAGACCTGGGAGATGGGTCGGAGACGAGAGGGAGTGTGGGCTATATTGGCAGAGAGAAAGGAGGGTCAGGACAAAACCGGGAGGAAAGATCAAACCAGTATCTTAGATGCCTATATACAAATGCGAGAAGTATGGGTAATAAGCAGGAAGAACTGGAAGTGCTAATAAATAAATACAACTATGACATTGTTGGCATCACTGAAACTTGGTGGGATAATACACATGATTGGAATGTTGGTGTGGATGGATACAGCTTGCTCAGGAAGGATAGACAGGGGAAAAAGGGAGGAGGTGTTGCCTTATATATTAAAAATGTACACACTTGGACTGAGGTAGAGATGGACATAGGAGACGGAAGTGTTGAGAGTCTCTGGGTTAGGCTAAAAGGGGTAAAAAACAAGGGTGATGTCATGCTAGGAGTCTACTACAGGCCACCTAACCAGGTGGAAGAGGTGGATGAGGCTTTTTTTAAACAACTAACAAAATCATCCAAAGCCCAAGATTTGGTGGTGATGGGGGACTTCAACTATCCGGATATATGTTGGGAAAATAACACAGCGGGGCACAGACTATCCAACAAATTCTTGGACTGCATTGCAGACAACTTTTTATTTCAGAAGGTTGAAAAAGCTACTAGGGGGGAAGCTGTTCTGGACTTGATTTTAACAAATAGGGAGGAACTCGTTGAGAATTTGAAAGTAGAAGGCAGCTTGGGTGAAAGTGATCATGAAATCATAGAGTTTGCAATTCTAAGGAAGGGTAGAAGGGAGAACAGCAAAATAGAGACAATGGATTTCAGGAAGGCGGATTTTGGTAAGCTCAGAGAGCTGATAGGTAAGGTCCCATGGGAATCAAGACTGAGGGGAAAAACAACTGAGGAGAGCTGGCAGTTTTTCAAAGGGACACTATTAAGGGCCCAAAAGCAAGCTATTCCACTGGTTAGGAAAGATAGAAAATGTGGCAAAAGACCACCTTGGCTTAACCACGAGATCTTGCATGATCTAAAAAATAAAAAGGAGTCATATAAAAAATGGAAACTAGGACAGATTACAAAGGATGAATATAGGCAAACAACACAGGAATGCAGGGGCAAGATTAGAAAGGCAAAGGCACAAAATGAGCTCAAACTAGCTATGGGAATAAAGGGAAACAAGAAGACTTTTTATCAATACATTAGAAGCAAGAGGAAGACCAAAGACAGGGTAGGCCCACTGCTTAGTGAAGAGGGAGAAACAGTAACAGGAAACTTGGAAATGGCAGAGATGCTTAATGACTTCTTTGTTTCGGTCTTCACCGAGAAGTCTGAAGGAATGCCTAACCTAGTGAATGCTAATGGGAAGGGGGTAGGTTTAGCAGATAAAATAAAAAAAGAACAAGTTAAAAATCATGGGAGACGGGAGAGATTCCAGAAGACTGGAAAAGGGCAAATATAGTGCCCATCTATAAAAAGGGAAATAAAAACAACCCAGGAAACTACAGACCAGTTAGTTTAACTTCTGTGCCAGGGAAGATAATGGAGCAAGTAATTAAGGAAATCATCTGCAAACACTTGGAAGGTGGTAAAGTGATAGGGAACAGCCAGCATGGATTTGTAAAGAACAAATCATGTCAAACCAATCTGATAGCTTTCTTCGATAGGATAACGAGTCTTGTGGATAAGGGAGAAGCTGTGGATGTGGTATACCTAGACTTTAGTAAGGCATTTGATACGGTCTCGCATGATATTCTTATCGACAAACTAGGCAAATACAATTTAGATGGGGCTACTATAAGGTGGGTGCATAACTGGCTGGATAACCGTACTCAGAGAGTTGTTATTAATGGTTCCCAATCCTGCTGGAAAGGCATAACGAGTGGGGTTCCGCAGGGGTCTGTTTTGGGACCGGCTCTGTTCAATATCTTCATTAACGACTTAGATATTGGTATAGAAAGTACGATTATTAAGTTTGCGGATGATACCAAACTGGGAGGGATTGCAACTGCTTTGGAGGACAGGGTCATAATTCAAAATGATCTGGACAAATTGGAGAAATGGTCTGAGTTAAACAGGATGAAGTTTAACAAAGACAAATGCAAAGTGCTCCACTTAGGAAGAAAAAATCAGTTTCACACATACAGAATGGGAAGAGACTGTCTAGGAAGGAGTACGGCAGAAAGGGATCTAGGGGTTATAGTGGACCACAAGCTAAATATGAGTCAACAGTGTGATGCTGTTGCAAAAAAAAGCAAACGTGATTCTGGGATGTATTAACAGGTGTGTTGTGAGCAAGACACGAGAAGTCATTCTTCCGCTCTACTCTGCTCTGGTTAGGCCTCAGCTGGAGTATTGTGTCCAGTTCTGGGCACCGCATTTCAAGAAAGATGTGGAGAAATTGGAAAGGGTCCAGAGAAGAGCAACAAGAATGATTAAAGGTCTTGAGAACATGACCTATGAAGGAAGGCTGAAAGAATTGGGTTTGTTTAGTTTGGAAAAGAGAAGACTGAGAGGGGACATGATAGCAGTTTTCAGGTATCTAAAAGGGTGTCATAAGGAGGAGGGAGAAAACTTGTTCACCTTAGCCTCTGAGGATAGAACAAGAAGCAATGGGCTTAAACTGCAGCAAGGGAGGTCTAGGTTGGACATTAGGAAAAAGTTCCTAACTGTCAGGGTGGTTAAACACTGGAATAAATTGCCTAGGGAGGTTGTGGAATCTCCATCTCTGGAGATATTTAAGAGTAGGTTAGATAAATGTCTATCAGGGATGGTCTAGACAGTATTTGGTCCTGCCATGCGGGCAGGGGACTGGACTCGATGACCTCTCGAGGTCCCTTCCAGTCCTAGAATCTATGAATCTATGAATCTATGAATCTCCAGCTAAATAGCCCCCACAGTAGGCTTAGCAACATGAAATGCATATATCCATCAGCAGTACTCATCTGAGGTTGCCAGTTTTCACAAAGTAATTACTACTCTCGTTAACAGCAAGTACACGTGGAACAATTTATGCTCTCGTGTCTGGACAAGTTCCCCAGAGATACAGAAACTGTATTACTCATTAAGACATTCTATACCAACAGCACCTCATTCTAGGTCTCTATCACAACCCTGTTCCCCCAATCACTGGAAGTATTCCTGGCCCAAAAGTGGCACTTGGCTCAGTAGAAGTCCAGAGTCAGCTGGCAGTTGACCTAGGCCTGAATAAGAGTATGGCCAGATCTTCTCTTACCTACTTGCACTGTCAGCAGCTGCAACAAGGACTCCATGGACTACAGTTCTTGCTCTCTGGAGCTTTCTCCACTACCATTTCTGAGCCTCTGCTGCCATTTGACTCTGCATGTCTCCCAGGCCAGGATATCCTTCTGGTTTCCACAACACCTTACAAGTTCTACACATCCCTATGCCATGAAGCTGTGACAGGGATAGGGAGTTTGGAATATACAAAATGTTCTGGTACTGAAGCACCAGAAATGAGTATTAAGGCTAGGTAGTGTGGATGATGAACCTTCCTAGGGCCAAGTGGTATTATAAACACTTATCTGCAATATTTAACCTTGAAACTGTTAAAGATGCACCTCTCATTAACTGTACTGGTTCCATGCCAACAACATAAAATAGTATAAAAAAAAACCCCTCCTTTTTTTTGCCACCAAAATTAGCAGGAATGATTCTGGTTACCTGGGTATTCAATCTGTTGAGTAGGAGGTGCCATTTTATTTGTAATTTTTCTGACTGCAACCATACCTTGGGCAAAAAAAGTCTTACATTATCCCCATGTACAGTACCTGCTAATGATTTCTAAAAAGAGTAGTCCAACAAACTATATAAAAAAAGAAAGTTTAAAAAAGTTTAACCTAGAAAAAACACAAAAAGAAAAAGCATTTTAAAGTAAAAAGAATGTGCAGATTCACTAGGTTAAAAATTGCAACTGTGGTGTCTATTGCAAAGTAGCTGAGAATATGTTTTCAGAACTGAACAAAAACATAAGCGAAGTGTCTGACCCAGTATGGCCATTCTTATGTTCTAATCCCTCTGACGATGTAGGACTACTGTAATGAAGTATACTTGCGCCACATGTGACCAGAACAGGAAGGGGTAAACAGAGGGCACTGAACCAAAGAAGAGAACTAACCCACAGGCCCCATCATTCCTGGAGCAAAGCCTCCAGCTGTGTGTAAGCAAGAACAAGAAATAAAAAGAGGCAGCAGAACCAACAAAAGCTTCCTCTATTCGTTTCCACACCAACGGCCTGCGTTTTTTGACATTTGGTTACTTTTCCCTGACAGTGAGGAACAATATGCTATATTTGTTATGAAAGCTAAAGACTGTTGTTTTTTTAATATATTTCTATGACAACACTGGACCATGCTGAGTGCCCCCCGAAATAATCAAAAGCCCAATTTCTTTGCTTCTGGAGCAGCAGATTTCCCCAGGTCCATTTTCAGATCTGTAGGAGACAGCGGCAATGCCAGAAGATGGGGGGGAAGGGGGCACCATTTTATTATTAGTCATTTTGGAATTGCTTGCCAAAGGAAAGATCTTTGTTCATCCTTTGTCTGGTGCTGTGTTCCACTATCTGAGGCTGTGGCTCAACTCAGACAATGAACAGCATATCACATTTATGGACGCTTTAGGGAAGGAGGAGACGACAAGTTGTGTTAATAGTGTACGTCTGTTAGTTATTAAGAGAGTTCTTACCTGTATTTTTATTGGCCAGGTGAAGTTGCTGACATAAACAAAGAAAGTGATGTTGGGATTGCTCCGGAAATCAAATTTCTCATTGGAGAAGCTGTCCTTGTATTCCTTTATGTTGGACTTTGAAACAACTGGAATCTCCTCTCCTGCCTGTGTGCCAGCTGTTTCAGAATTTAAAAAGTAGCATTAAAGTTTGCTCTCAGTGCAGATCTTAAGTGATTTTCAAAGGGGACCAATTATCCTACGGCTTTGACAGTAAAAGGAACTAGTCATCTGAAGACTGCAATTTTGAGTTGTATTTCACTAGTGGAATCAATGAACACACAAAATATTGCATTACAAAAAATTAGAGCAGCATTTCAACAGTCTCCAATGCACATTATCATGAAGTGAGAATTGGAAAACTGGAGAAGAGAAAACTAAAATTCCTTTCTTAATTTCATTTCTTTCCCACAGCCCAATTTCTAAAATGTAATGTATAGTATTTAATTATTCTCATACAGTTCAGATTCTGGTTTACTTTTCTCTTTTACCTGCAAAACTTGTTGACCAAGTTATGTTGAGGTTGAAGTTTTTAGATGCGTTGATAAACATGTCCAGGTCTCTATTTTGCTGATTTAGAGAAAAAGAGAGAGAAGAAAGCCGTTATTTTTAACAGATGTCAGTCCATTAAAATTGTTCTGTTTTGAAAGCAACTCACTAAAAAAAGTGTCAGAACGAGAGTTATTTCACAATATGTTCACTAGAATACTCATCTACATGCGAGAGCACTAGCATCTAGCAAGACACATTTTAAAGACCCACTGTATATAAAATAGAACATAGCTGTACATTTTCATTTGGATCTCCCCACAAAAGAGAAGTTTACTGCAGTGTAATTCCAAACCATATTCATTTAGGGCTCTTTGCAGCTATCCGAAGTATTATTCTGGGATGGTTGGCAGTAGCAGCATTCAAATATATTTTAATGCAAACACAGATAATTTTTTGTTTTAAATACTCTCTCCGCCCCCCAATAAAATAATTAATTTTGTATTCTCACAAAATATCTGCCCTGGTCTAGATTCAAATCACGTAATCATGTTTCTTATTGGTATTCCTCCCCAACTCTGTGTTTGCTCTGACAATGGCCCTCCATATGTTCCTCTCACTCCAATATCTGTGCCTTCTTTTATAATATGTAATAATATAATTTTTTATAATATAAATTTGTAGGCTCTTTTGTGACAAGTGGGCCTACAAATTTTCCCTAACTCTGAGCTCAACTGTGAAAAGTGAGTGAAAGTTCACAAAATGTCACAATAACTCGTAACAAATGTTGACGGGGAAAAAGTGCAAAAAGACTGAATTAGCCTGAACAAAAAAAGGCCTCCTGATATAACTCAAGGACTGTGTTAAGACCATGCCTGGTCAACAAGAAAAGTATGGAACTGGAAATTAATGAACCAAAATTGAGAGGCTTAACAGAAATGAGGCTTAACTGGTGGACAAAATAATGAGGGGATTGGACTATTCTGTCCATCACTCTCTTTTGGGGTCCTTAACAAAAAAGACGTGGGGTGAGGGGAAATACAGATGGGTGGCTGACTAGAGAAGAGGAAGGTGAAAACTTCATCATGACAGTTGCCAACCCCACCATCTCCTCGGACTCTTCATCGTCCTGATACTGAGAGATGTCCTGAGCAGACTGGGCCAAGGAAGAGGGACCCCAGACGACATCACCATTGCCACCTCAACTGGCTCATGCTAATCCCAAATATCACCAGACATGTGAGGCTTTGTCTCATACACATCCTTCTCTTTTCCTTCCTTCCCCTATTTCCCAAAAGGTTCTTTTCCTTCCCACCATATTTCTTCTCTTTCCTAGCACTCTCCTTTTTCCTTTTGTCCAGCTATTTGTCTTGATTAGACAACAATGCATATTTTGCAACATTGCTGCAAGCATGAGTCTGGAAAGGCAGCTAAAAGCAATGCCCTAAACATCCCGATGCTGGTACAAATTTGTCAGGTTTCAGAGTCGCTGATAAGATCGTCTGCTGTGCTTGTGTTTCTCCAGCAGTGAAGCTGCAAGTGAGAGATAACACCAGAGACAGAAGTTGTATTTTCTATCTTTGTTGTTCTTTACTTTTCCCTTTTGTGTGCATTTCTCTTGTTTTGTCTTCTAGGAAATGGGATCAGACTTCAACGACAGTAACAATAGCTCCTGCCCATTGTAAGTAACTTTTTCTCTTTTCCCCCAAAAGGATAGCTAACATCCGTAATACCATCTAAGAGACTTTCAGACAAGCGGGCATGTTTTTAAAGACTCTCTCCGGCTAAAGGGAGAGGGAAGAAGGGATGTTGTTAAGATGAAACTTATTAATACTTTCCTTTTTAAATGCTTTTTAACGTTTTTTTCCCCTTATTTTCTGTATTCCTAATATGGGATTCAAAAGATTCTTAATAGTGTTTGCCATGGTACTAAGCAGGCCAGGGTCTCTGTATCCCAAACCCCAAACCTTTTTTAACACTGGTTAATGCTGGACAGCAATAGCACCATGTTAATGACTTTGACTCTTTGGGCCCATATATTCCATCTAACTGAATACAACAGAGCCCTTACTTGGAATGACACCCCTGGTCATGGAGTGCAGGTCCCATGGGGCCTCATTACACTGAAGGGTGCCAAGGGGAGGTCATCCTGGCCCCCAAAGCCATGGTTTCCCCATTATTAGCCTTGAGGCTGTGACTGTTGATCCTGAGGGAGAATGCAGAGCTCTCTCATAGAATCAAGAGGCACCTTAAGAGCAGCCAGCAAGAAACTGTAAGCTGCAATCCAAGGAAAAGTCTCTGCTCAGGTGTGTGTTTGGAGAAGTTCCTGTACTCAGCTGGATTGAGCAGACAGAGGATAGTACTGCTTTGACTTATCCCATCCACAGCATCTTTTGGTAGGAATTATGTGAGCACTGAAAAAAATGGGAAGTGATTTTGTGTGCGTCATTCACTGCATCAATGAGCCTCCTGTTCGTACTGCAATAGCACCACAGACCACAAAGATGGACCAAGGCCCCGTTGTATTAGGCAATGTACAACCAGTTCAGTGCTGGTGGCCTCTGAGCTACATTCTGATGTTCTTGGAGTCTGACTGAAGAAATGGAGAACTGCTGCTTTTTCCTGTCTCCCCACCCCTCTGTTCCAAGGATGAGCCTGACAGCATTAACTCGCTGCAGTGTTTGGACCAACAGTACTTTTTCTGCTCTACAGGATCTGAGGCATTTGGGGATTCTGAATTCACCTGGTTATTAAACATAGAAGGAGCCCTGGGGTGTTAATTGACTAAGAGTTATTCTGGCTAGCCCATGGGCTTTTTCCCTGCAGAATGACTGGAGGCTGACCTCTCTTTGAGCTCTTGAGGTGAAAGAGAAGCAAAGAGAATACCTCCCTAGCAGGTGAGCTTCACTGATGCACAGGTGTCACCATGAATGCGGAGCTGCATTTGAAGTTAGATACCTTACGTGACTGCTCCATATTTCCATTCCAAAAGGAGATGCCTTTTGCACCAGGAAGAAAAGCAAAATAAACAACAGAATGAACTGTGCCATGGCATAATTCTACACTGACTAACTATATTAGAGTAAAAGAAAGTGAAGAAAGTAGACACAATAAGATACAAGACCAACTGCAAGCAACAAGAGAAAGCTAGAGGGGTTTGACTACATATTCCAGCAGTACAAAGCAACTGAACCGCAGGTTTAGGCTGTGGTTCCTTATGCCCCACTTTGGCCACAAACATTCAGAGCTTCAAGGAAGCAAGGTGTAGCTACACAGATTGAGGACATTCTGGCTAGGACGTGAACTATGCATGTGCACCAAGACGGTAGTTCTTTTCAAAGAACTGTATGAGCCACTCTCTTCAGGGCAAGGAGAAGGCAGATGTTTGAAACAAAGTATGAAATGTGGGAGTCCAAAAGGGAAGAGATCATACTCACCTCTTCAGGTGTTGCTACAAAATTGATTGCAGTATAATAGCGATCATCCTCTTGGGAAAGGCTGAAGGTGAACTGATAGTCAATAAGAAGAGTATCTGTAAAGAATACATGCAAAAAAGTGAAAAAATGTCTTGAAATAAAACAAGCTTCTGGAAAGCAAGGCAGGTAACTGATTGCTTACACTAAACTAGAAAACAGTTTACTGCAACAAGAGAGAGTTACTGCACTGTTATAATCTGCCCCCAACAGAAATTTGAGTTTGGGAGAGAATAAGGAACACTTTAGACACCTCACTATCCCGACCTTGGAGGGTATTATATCCTACTCTATTAAAGTTAACCCAACCTTTTTTGGAAGAGGAGGGGGGAAAAGGATAAAGGTTTACATTTTTCAAGCAGGACATCTGATAAAAGCCTAAATCCTAAGAGAACTTGGTAAAAGAGAAATGTGGACGACTACATAATTTAACCACATTTTATTTGGTTCTTGTAGTTTCACCAAGTCTAAAGTATCTATTAAAACTGCTTATCAATGTTATGGGAGTTTAAGGAAGACCAAACATATTCTCAGATGGCAGAATACGATGTTCCCATTGGAACAGTGTGGGGAAAAACATTCACCCATCTAGCAAAACTGGTGAACCACCATGTTTTCACTGCATTTGGGAAAAATCAAAGGCCAGGCAAATACGATAAAATTGCTACTATGGCTAATAAAACAAGGCCTTTTTCAAAAAGTGGGTTGGGGCTTCATGACCCACCGATATCTTATCTTGTTCTTTTCTCTTTTCCCCTCCCCTCCCATAACATGAAAGAAGCCTAATCCAGTCCACTGCAGTCTCTACTGGGCTCAAGGGAGTGTACAAAGGACCTAAATATTTAATGAAGTATGGCTATCATGACAATAGACAGCACTGACAATAACTTTTTTAAAGCTCATCATAATGTTCCCGGTCTACTGGGCTTCAAAATTACTACCAAGAAGCCTCCCCTACACTGTGCTGTTTCTCCTTTCCCGTGTGGTTGGCATAAGCAACATTGTTGTGTTTGATAACGGCACAAGATTATCTTAAAACCTATCAATGCTGCTCCTCAACTGCCCAAGCAGGATTTAGCACACTTCTAATTTCCACACCCCCTTAGAAATCCTGTCTGAACCCTTCATTGCTATTTAATTTAAGATATTTTCCCATCTAATGTCTTTCTAAAAGTGTTGATCTCAAATATTTAAGAGTGGTAAAATAAGAGTATCCACTAGGATAATCTGAATTTTAATAGTGTAATGACAATATTTCCTAACCCAGGGGTTCTCAAACTTCATTGCATTGTGACCCCTTTCTGACAACAAGAATTATTACACAACCCTGGGGAGGGCGGGGGGTAACCAAGCCCGAGCCCACCCAAGCCCCGCCACGACTGGGGTGGAGGGGTGGGGGTGAAGCCAAAACCCTTAGGCTCAGGCTTCAGCCCTAGGTGGTGGGGCTCGGGCTTCAGCTTTGGCCCCAGGCCCCAGCAAGTCTAATGTTAGCCCTGGCGACCCCATTAAAACAGGGTCACAACCCACTTTGGGTTCCCGACCCACAGTTTGAGAACCACTGTCCTAACCCACCTGCATATAAACAGATGTTGTGCTAAGTAAAATAGTTGTAACTTATTTGGTCCTATATATCAAATAAGACATTTACTATTTTCAGGCAAAGAAAAGCAGTTGTACTTACAATAACATGTTCCTTTAAGTGGATTTCCCTGGTATCGATTTTCTACTTCACACCTAAAAAGAATATTTTTTTTAAATCAATGTTGGTTTTCAGTCTTATTTTCTCTTTTTTTTTTGGCTTGAATCTCTACCCATTTAAAAACAATTACAGAACACAGCTTGAGCTCAGAAGATAACTGTATACAATTAAAAACAAAAAGGTGCAAGTCTGAAGCTGTAATGAGATATTGAAGAAACCATGGAAACTTGGAAGACCCAAGCAAGCAAGTAGAAAGCAATGAAACCGAAGTATGAAAATTACAGGAAGGAGAGGTTACTTACCTTGTGCAGTAATGGGAGTTCTTCAAGCTGTGTCCCCCTGCAGGTACTTCACTTTAGGTGTGCACGTGCCCCTGTGCCTCTGAACAGAGATTTTTGGTAGCACTATCCATTCTGCCCACACATGCGCCCTGCACATCCTTGTGCCCTGTACCAAGGCTTCACATGGTGGAGCGGGCAAACCGCTCTCAGTTCTTCCTCTATCACAAAGCCTACACAGGCAACTCCTAAACAGAGGGGGGAAAGGGTGGGTAGTGGAGCACCCACAGGGGAATGCACCTTGAAGAATTCCAGTTACTGCACAACATGAGTAACAACTTCTTCAAATAGACTCCCTGTGGGCACTCCACTTTAGGTGACTCCCTATCAGTAACCCTTTGAGGAAGTGGAAGTTTTGGAACAGAGTCCATCACCAGAGAGAAAATGGTGTTGCCTATTGCCGCATCTGATCATGCAGCGTAAATTAGGGCGCAGTGGTTAGAAACCATGTGCATCAAAGGACCATGTTGCAGCCCTGCAGATTTAAGCAACGAGAACATCTCTGAGTAGAGATGCAGACAGTGATCTAGTCGAGCGTGCACTCACTCTTAGGGGAGGTGTAACCGCAGGAAAACCATAGCAGGCAATAATACATCCAGGAGATACATTTAGAAAGTTTCTGAGTAAAGATAGGTGCTCCATTACACTTATCTGCAATGGAAACAAAGTCTGGGGGGTCTTCCTGAATGGCCTAGTCCTGTCCAAGTGAAAAGCTAATGCTCTCTTAACAGCTAATGTATGAAAAGGCGGTTCTTGTGTAAACTGATGCAACTTAGGGGAAAAAAACAAAAGATGAATAGTTTGGTTGATATGAACTCCAGAGGACATCTTAGGTAAGAACTTTGGATGAGGTCGTAAATGTACCTTCTCCTTGGAGAACAAAGTAAAAGGGAGGATCTTCAACTAGAGCCCCCCGTCTCCCCATCTCTTTGAGCAGAAATGATGGCCACCAAGAAGGCTGTCTTCATAGACAGATATAAAAGTGAGCACATAGCTGTTTCATGAGATGGTTAAGAACCAGGCTGAAAACCCAAAGCAGTGTAGGGGCTCTTATCTGTGGGAAAAGATTTATAAATCCTTTTACGAATCTCACTGTGGTTGGATGAGTGAAAAAAAACAATAAACCTTCTCCTGGCACGTGGAAAGCTGTTATTGCTGTTAAATTAACCTTGATGGAACTCCAAGAAAGGCCTGAATTTTTCAATTCCAACAGGTAGTCCAAGATTGAGGAAAGATGACTGGACAGAAAACAGATGGCATTGGTTACACCAAAAGCTATAACGTCTCCATTTCTGAAGGTAAGTATGTCTATTAGATTTCTTCCTGCTATTCAACAGTATCTTTGAACTTCTGATGAGCATAAGGTCTCTTGTCCTGAGAACCACTGAGGAACTAAGATTGGGGTGAAAGGTCTGACTCACATCCTGAGACAATATTGGAGGTTTTATCTGTAGCCTTCACAAAGGGCAAGAGGTGAGTCTGAGGAGGTTCGGAAACTAAACTTATATTGGCCAAGTATGGTGCAATCAAAATGACTTTGGCTTCGTCCTCTCTGTTCTTGATAAGGACCTTTAGGAGCAATGGAGTTGGAGGATCTGCATAGAGAAGACCCTTTGTCCATGTAATGAGGAAAGCATCTCCTAGAGATTGCTGATCGAGACCCCCTCTGGAACAGAATTTCCTTTCATTTTGTGTTGACTGCTGTGGCAAAAAAATTCATCTCTGGAAATCCCTAAGTCAGGAGTATTTTATTGAGCACTCAAAGAGTCCAACTCCTATTTGTCATTTAAGGACAAATGGCTGCTCAGATCATCGGCCACGGTGTTTTGTATATCTGGAGGTAAGAAGCCCAGATGACTATCTGGCTATGAAACAGTTCCAAAGTTTTACCACTTAGAGGCAGAGTGAGAGGAACACACTCTGCCCTGACGATTGATTTAATACATGCATGCTATGTTGTCTGTCATGATCTTGGTGGACTTGTTTTTGAGTAGGGGAAGAAAGCGGAGGAAAGCATTTCTGACCACCCTTAATTCCAACAGATTGATGTGCAAGCAGCGTTCCTGTTGTGACCATTTTCCATGGTCTGCGTGAGGACCCAAATGTGCTCCCCATTCCAAGAGGGAAGTGTCCGATGTTAATATGACTATAGGAGGGATTGGTTGAACAGAAAT